TTGAATTTTGAATTTTCGAATTTTTGTGTGTGTGTGTGTGTGTGTTTTTTTTTCCATGTTGCCCATGGGCAAAATCCTTTCTCAGGACTGGAGTTCCCTTCCATTGCAGCCATCTTCAAAATTCCAGGCAACGGGAAACATTTCTTGTCTGCTCCTCCCCCATTCTAGTTATTTTTTTTTAAGATTTATTTATTTATTTGAAAGGCAGAGTTATACAGAGAGAGAAGGAGAGGCAGAAAGAGAGAGAGAGAGACAGAGAAGGAGGTCTTCCATCCGCTGGTTCACTCCCAAGTTGGCCACAATGGCCGGAGCTGCACTGATCCGAAGCCAAGATCCAGGAGCTTCTTCTGGGTCTCCCACGTGGGTTCAGGGGTCCAAGGACTTGGGCCATCTTCTACTGCTTTCCCAGGCCACAGCAGAGAGCTCGAGTGGAAGTGGAGCAGCCGGGTCTCGAACCCGCGCCCACATGGGATGCTGGCACTGGAGGTGGTGGTGGCTTTGCCCGCTACTCCACAGCGCTGCCCCCCTCTGCTTCTAGTCTGCAGCGACGGAACGTGCAGATTGTTCTGACGTTCTGCGAGTACTCAAGCCGTCAGGTTTTAGTAGGAATTGCTGTGATCACTTGCCCTGTGTGTGTGATGACGCTTTGTAACGATTGTTTGACTTAGGGTTTTGGGCTCGTGAAGTGGGCAAAATGATCGGCCTGGAGCATCCTCTCATTCCGGTCCAGCACCAGTACCTCGTCACGTCCACCATCCCCGAGGTGAAGGCTTTGAAACGAGAACTCGCTGTGCTCCGTGACCTGGAAGGATCCTACTACGTGCGCCAGGAGAGGGATGGACTACTGCTGGGCCCCTACGAGCGTCAGGAGAAGATGAGAGTTCAGGACTCCTGGGTCACTGACGGGGTCCCTCCAGGTGGGTCAGGACTCCTGGTCACTGACGGGGTCCCTCCAGGTGGATCAGGACTCCTGGTCACTGACGGGGTCCCTCCAGGTGGGTCAGGACTCCTGGTAACTGACAGGGCCCCTCCAGGTGGGTCAGGACTCCTGGTCACTGACGGGGTCCCTCCAGATGGGTCAGGACTCCTGGTCACTGACGGGGCCCCTCCAGGTGGGTTCAGGACTCCTGGGTCACTGACGGGGTCCCTCCAGGTGGGTTCAGGACTCCTGGTCACTGACGGGGTCCCTCCAGGTAGGTCAGGACTCCTGGTCACTGACGGGGCCCCTCCAGGTGGGTCAGGACTCCTGGTCACCAGCGGGGTCCCTCCAGGTGGGTCAGGACCCCTGGTCACTGATGGGGCCCTCTAGGTGGGTTCAGGACTCCTGGTCACTGACAGGGCCCCTCCAGGTGGGTTCAGGACTCCTGGTCACTGACGGGGCCCTCCAGGTGGGTCAGGACTCCTGGTCACCAGTGGGGCCCCTCCAGGTGGGTCAGGACTCCTGGTCACTGATGGGGTCCCTCCAGGTGGGTCAGGACTCCTGGTCACTGATGGGGCCCTCTAGGTGGGTTCAGGACTCCTGGTCACTGACAGGGGCCCTCCAGGTGGGTCAGGACTCCTGGTCACCAGTGGGGCCCTCCAGGTGGGTCAGGACTCCTGGTCACTGATGGGGTCCCTCCAGGTGGGTCAGGACTCCTGGTCACTGATGGGGCCCTCTAGGTGGGTCAGGACTCCTGGTCACTGACAGGGACCCTCCAGGTGGGTCAGGACTCCTAGTCACCAGTGGGGCCCTCCAGGTGGGTCAGGACTCCCGGGTCGCTGTCGCCCCCCTTTGCGGCTTGCTTGGTCCGGTTTCAAGGTTTGCATGCAGCAGCTACGGTGCTTCTGTGGAGAAGCAGGACAGGTGCTACAGGCGGGACGTCTGCCCTACTCAGGATGGAGCCGCGGAGGACAGCGCAGAGAGGGGCTGGGTGCCGCGCCCGGGGAGGGGAGGCTCAGGCCCTGGGCTCCTGTGGGAGCTGCTGCCCTTTCTCCCTCGCAGACTGTGCAGCTGGGACTGCTTTGTGCTGTTGTCTTTCAGGAGCGGGTTCTGCAGAGCTAGATTCTGTGTTTTTATTTGAAAGGCAAAGGGAAGGAGGCAGATAGAGATCTCCCATCTGCTGGTTCACTCCCCAGTCGCTCAGAACAGCCAGAGCCCAGCAAGGCAGCAGCCAGGAGCCAGGAGCTCCATCCGGGTCTCCCTGCAGGGGGCAGGGACCCCAGTATTTGAGCCGTCAGTGCTCCCTCCCAGGATGCAAGTTAGCAGGGAGCTGGGTCAGCGGGGAGGAGCTCAACTCTAACCAGGTGCTCAGATGTGCATGCCCTGGGCTGCCCCAGGTGACCCGAGCCCCGTGCCTGACGCCTCCCCCTACAGAGCTGGATGGAGCAGGGGGCTGCTTAAGGAGTTTCTCAGGTTTTGCTCTTTATAGGGAGGCACGGAAGCATTCCCGGGAATATGGAGAAGTGGGGGAGGTGGCAGTTGGAGAGTCACGCCTGGATCAGTTAGGGAATGTGCCCACCTCCCCTGTTCCTGCTCCCCTGCACTTGCGAAGGGCGAAGCTGGGCAGGCTCTGTGCACCTGGGCCCCAGCAGCCTCACTCCTTCCCCCCGGGGAGGGCTCCCCCTCTGCCTGCCTGTCCCTGGCAGCCGCTACTCCATGCCAGGGTTGGAGTTCAGCAATCCCAGCTGGGGTGGAGGCCGGGGAGACTGCTCTCCGTGCCTGGGCTGAGGCCCACATGTCCAGGTCCACCCTGTGGTGATGTCTGGGCCTCTGTGTGGCTGACCCACTGTGCAGGCCCCAGCAGGTGCAAGGGGAAGCCCCCCGTGGGTCCCTTCTTTGGGAAGCTCCTCTGTGTGGCCTCTGAAGCCTCGGCGACTTTAGGCCAAGATGATGGTGCTCCCGACCCGCCTCTTGTCCCAGAGCACAGCCCCTGGCTGTGGGTGGGGGCTGGTGGAAGGAGACCCCCCTGCCGTTCCTGAAGGGAGAGTTGGAGGGGGTCCCCAACCCGGCAGCCCAGATTCTGGAGTAGTGTCCACTGCTCCCAGTATCCTGGAGAGACATCTACCTCGGGAGTGAAACAGGAGCCGCTTTTTCTCCTTAAAGATTTAGTTATTTGAAAGTCAGAGTTAGGGAGAGAGAGGCAGAGACAGAGAGAAATCTTTCACCCACTGGGTCACTCCCCAGATAACTGCAATGGCCAGGGCTGGGCCAAGCTGAAACCAGGAGCCAGAAGCATCCTCCAGGTCTCCTATGTGGGTAGCAGGGGCCCAAACTCTTGGGTCATCTTCTGCTGCTTTCCCTGGGTCATTAGCAGGATGCTGGATGGGAAGTGGAGCCATAGGGGCGTGAACCACCTGTGCCCACATGGGATGCTGGCATTGCAGATGGTGGCTTTACCCGCTATGCCACATCATCAGCCCGCGGGGTTTTTTTCCTTCCAAAACTGTGGTTGGATTAAATAATGGAAACTTAACAGGTATGTGTTCAAATGTTCTGTTAACTAAAAATGATGAACTGATTTTATTTCAAAAACAGTGGCGTTGATGGTACAGATAGGGAATATCAAGTGTAGATTTAAAAAAAACAGCAGGCAGCGGCTCCCTGGGCACCTTCCGCAGACGGCCCCACTGGGGAGTGCCCGTCCGTGGGGCTGTGGCGCCCTGACCCCAGTGGCCGGCTTTGCAGGTTTTGGGAAGGAGCTCTTTGAGGCCGACCTGGACCGGATAACAGAACACCTGGAGATTGCCATGGAGATGATCCCGGTCTTGAAAAAGGCTGACATCGTCAACGTGGTCAACGGCCCCATCACCTACACCCCTGACATCCTGCCCATGGTGGGGCCCCACCAGGGGGTCCGCAACTACTGGGTGGCGGTAGGCTTCGGGTGAGGCTCTGCGCTTCTCGTAGATTCGCTGTTTTAGCTCAGTCTGCTCCACCATCTCTGGGAAAGAAGCATGGTGTGGGAGGGACAGGTGTGTGTGGGTGTGTGTGTGTGCACGCATGCGTGTGCATAAGAATTTTCTACCCTTTATACCCAGGGAATAATATGAGGAACACTTATTCTATTCTATTCTATTCTATTCTATTCTATTCTATTCTATTCTATTCTATTCTTGACAGGCAGAGTTATACAGTGAGAGAGAGAGACAGAGAGAAAGGTCTTCCTTCCGTTGGTTCACCCCCCAAATGGCCACCGTGAATGGTGCGCTGTGCCGATCCGAAGCCAGGAACCAAGTGCTTCTCCTGGTCTCCCATGCGGGTGCAGGGCCCAAGGACCTGGGTCTTCTTCCCGGGCCACAGCAGAGAGCTGGACTGGAAGAGGAGCAACTGGGACAGAATCTGGCGCCCCAGCCAGGACTAGAACCTCGGGTACCGGCGCCGCAGGCAGAGGATTAGCCTAGTGAGCCACGGCGCTGGCCATGAACACACATTTTAAACACTGACTATGCAATGGTATAGTCTCTGGAATAGTTTATAAGGATTAGCGCTCAGGAGCGTAATGGTTTTCCGGAACTTTCTCTGTATTTCCTGCCATTCCCATTATTCCTGGCCCTTTCCATGTTGGGTATCCTCAGGTGTGCGTCCTCACTTATGACCCTGTTGACTCGGGTGTCTCATTTCTAACCTTTGTGCCATGAATCCATGGATACTGATGTCACACATCCTATACTGTCCCATCACAGCTTGGAAATTCCATTTGCCTTCCCCACATTAGTTGGCTGTTTCTTCTGTTGTCCACAGTGCTTGTGCTCTGTGACCCGGGCCTCATGCCTGGCTGCCCAGGGAGTACTCACTGCTGCCCTCCTATTCTCCTTGATAAATATCCCTGTAACAAACTGACCACGCATTTTTCTAAAATAGCACCGCTGCTGTCTCTGGGTAGGAGAATCAGCATTTCTAGTCTTGGCTGAGGTTCCCTGGGCATTGGAAACTCTGCTTCCCACTATTGAGCTGCTGTCATTTGAGATTCCCTGGCTTCTATGACTGATGTGTCTGCTCGTGGGGCTCCTGTGCTGGGCCCCCTCCTAGGACTTGGCTCATTCAGCTCCTACCAGCCTCTTTACTTACTATAGAGGAACCCAGAGAAAAGGTCTTGGTTAGATGTGCGGGAGAAGGTAGCAGGGAACATGGCCAATGTGCAGCTGTGACGCTACGTTCCAATATCCAACGTGCAATCCTCTGCTGGGTTTTAAAGCATGTCCTGCAGAGAGGCTGTGATGGTGAGAGTCCGCCTGTCCCCTTACCATGTCCTGTGCAGGGCTGTGATGGTGAGAGTCCGCCTGTCCCCTTACCATGTCCTGTGCAGGGCTGTGATGGTGAGAGTCCGCCTGTCCCCTTACCATGTCCTGTGCAGGGCTGTGGGGGTGAGAGTCTGCCTGTCCCCTTACTGTGTCCTGTGCAGGGCTGTGGGGGGGGTGAGTCTGCCTGTCCCCTTACCATGTCCTGTGCAGGGCTGTGGGGGGGTGAGTCTGCCTGTCCCCTTACTGTGTCCTGTGCAGGGCTGTGGGGGTGTGAGTCAGGCCCTCCCCTTACCATGTCCTGTGCAGGGCTGTGATGGTGAGAGTCTGCCTGTCCCCTTACCGTGTCCTGTGCAGGGCTGTGAGGGTTGAGTCTGCCTGTCCCCTTACTGTGTCCTGTGTAGGGCTGTGGGGGTGAGAGTCTGCCTGTCCCCTTACTGTGTCCTGTGCAGGGCTGTGGGGGTGTGAGTCAGGCCCTCCCCTTACCATGTCCTGTGCAGGGCTGTGACGGTGAGAGTCTGCCTGTCCCCTGACCATGTCCTGTGCAGGGCTGTGGGGGTGAGAGTCTGCCTGTCCCCTTACTGTGTCCTGTGCAGGGCTGTGGGGGTGTGAGTCAGGCCCTCCCCTTACCATGTCCTGTGCAGGGCTGTGGGGGTGAGAGTCTGCCTGTCCCCTAACCACCTCCCATGGAGATGGGAACAAGTGCCTTCCCCACCAAGTGACTTGTTCCCTGCAGAATATGGGATCCAGCGTTCCTGTCCCCAGTGCCCTCCCTGGATGGTGCCCTTTTGGCTTCAATGCTGCTGAGATCACGTCCCTGTCCAGTGACAGAGGTCGCCTCCTAAGGGAGCCGGGCTGGACTGAGTCTGCCGTGGCCAGGACTCTTACACGACACACGCTTCCCCTACACAGTGGCCTCCTTCCCTGCCGCCTGTTCCATACCAGCCAGGAGCTAACTTGCAGCTGTGCCACTCTTGAGACTGCAAACAAAGGAGCATGTTGGGTCTGGATGCCTGAATACGTGGTTTTTAGGACCAGTGGACAGTGTAGGGCCCTGGTACTTGTGAGTTCTAAGAACAGAGCCCTCCAGCGTTGAGGCCCTGTGAAGTATCCAGATGTGTTTGGTGTTTGAAGCCAGCGTGTGTCAGTGACGGGGTTTCTGTCTGTGTTTGGAAGCTACGGCATCATCCACGCTGGCGGGATCGGCAAGTACCTCAGCGAGTGGATCCTGCAGGGGGAGCCTCCTTTTGACCTCATAGAGCTGGACCCCAACCGCTACGGCAGATGGACCACTCCCCAGTACACCGAGGCCAAAGCCAGGGAGTCCTACGGGTTCAACAACGTGGGTAAGGGGTGAGCGTGTCCGTCTTGTCCGCCACGCACCCGCAGGGCTGCCTTGCACAGCGGTGATGGTGGAGCACTTCCTTCTGCGGTGGTGAGGGGCCCTGGGCAGCACGGTGCCTCTGAGACCCAAGGGGTGTGTGCACTGGCGCCTGCTCTGTGGAGCGCAGAATGGACTTCAGATCCTGATTACTGAGGATGTGCCTTACGTTATCCTTTGAGGGTCGGTGAAGGTCACGGCTTTGTGTTTTACATTAAGTACGTACACACGAGGTGCTTCGGTGTTCCATCTGCTGGGTCCCTTTGTGGCGCTGTGCTTCCGGCTGGCTGCTCTTGACCGTGCCTGTTTGCCCCGTGCAGTCGGCTATCCTAAAGAAGAGCGCTTCGCCGGGCGGCCGACGCAGCGGGTCAGCGGGCTCTACAGCATCCTGCAGCCCAGGTGCTCCATGGGCTTCCACGCAGGCTGGGAGCAGCCGCACTGGTTCTACAAACCTGGCCAGGACACCCAGTACAGGTAAGGCAGGGCCTTGACCCAGGGAGAAGCCACGAGGCGGGGGCGGGGCGGCAGAGAGGAGCCCCTTGCCCTCCCCACAGCGTGCTCCCCAGCCTCTTCCTACACAGGTCATCTTCTGGCTGGAGTTGTGGCTGAGCCTGGGTGACATTGGCCCCACGTGTCCTATAACCGGACCAGGCGCCACCCCTCATGCGGGGTGTTTTCCTGATGCTCTGCCTTTCAAATGAAAAATCTTGCTTAAAAATGGCTCAAAGCGAGGGCTTTCTAACCCTGCAGTGATGGCACAGTTGATAAGCTAGGGGAGAACATCGTTTGTTTAGCGTTTCATTGAGCACACCACAAGAATGTCCTCTTTTTTTTTTTTTTCAAGTTTTACTTTATTTATTTGAAAGAGCAGAGCGAGAGCGAGATAATCTTCCATCACTGGTTCACTCCCCGGATGGCCGCAATGGCCAGAGCTGAGCCAATCCAAGGCTGGGAGCCTGGAGCTTCTTTGGGGTCTCCCACATGGGTGCAGGGGTCCAGGTATTTGTCCCATCCTCCACTGCTTTCCCAGGCCCTGTAGCAGGGAGCTGGATGGGAAGTAGGGCAGCTGGGATGCAAACCCATCCCTATGGTGTGCTGGCGACGCAGGTGGCAACTTGACCACAGTGCCAAACGCCAACCCCACAGAATGTCCTCTGATCCCCCGCCGCCACCCTGTGTGTCACATGCCATTGTTGCACTGGGTTTAGTGGTCGTTATATCTGTTTTCTCATGAGAGTCCAGAAACCAAGAGAAAGCAAAGAGCAACCTGGTAGTTAAGCAGTGACCTTGATTTCCAAGCCGTCACTTTGCTTCTGTAGATGGGTTTGATGTCTGCTTAAGGACCTAATCTAAATGGTGCAAAGCGTAGGAGGGGAGGGGCAGTTCAGGAACACATCTGGGCTCCCTAAGCAGCCAGTCTAGAGTACACAGTGACCATATCGGGGTTGTTTTCCCCTAAACCACTCAGACAGGCACCAGCTCTCTTCCTCACTGCGGGCTCTTTGGGTCCGGCCACAGTGTCGTTTGCCATCTTCACAACTAAACTGATGGGAGCTGGCTTTGCAGCCTACGTACCCCCCTCTCCAGCTGCAATACCGTGTTAGACGTCCACCTGGGGAATGGGAAATGATGTGTCATCCTGTTGGGAGACCTCTGTCCATGCCCAGGCCTGAGATCAACCAATACAGGCCTTGGTGGTCACTTGGTGCCTGTGCTCCGAAACAGGACGCTCTGGGCCCAGACCCTTGCTCCCGCCGGGGGTGGGCCGATGGCACGGGCATCACCTGAGAGCCCGCTTGGACACACTCCCAGGCCCCAGCCCAGGCCTGGGGCAGCAGCACCTGGATTTGAACAAATGCAAGCAACTAGTGTTCACATTAGCATTTGAGAAGCCCTGGGTCTGAGAGCTCCTCCCCCTAGATACTTTGCATTAATGAAGCCCCACCACTGGTGGCTTCCAAATGCTGCCCAGGAGACTGTGGCATGGGAGGCATGAAAGGCACCGGCCTTCACGTCCAGACTCCTCCAGCTCAGAGCCGCGGGTCCGGTATCACTGTGGTTAACGAGTGCTTCCCTCGCTGGGCACTGGGTCCAGGGGGCGGATGAGTTACTTAGGAAGCCCCACTTCCAAATCACAGTCTCATCTTCCAGCTCTCAGCCCTTGCCTCCACCCTGTAGAATTTTCCGGATGAGTGGAGTTTCTTAAAGTGTCCTTGGTCCTTACTTGTTCAGAAAGTGAGCGACCACCGTTTAATAACACCACCTATTGGGTTCCAGGCCCAGCTTCCGGCGCACAAACTGGTTTGAGCCTGTGGGGTCCGAATATGAACAGGTTATGCAGAAGGTGGGGGTGATCGACCTGTCACCCTTCGGGAAGTTCCACATCAAAGGCCGAGACTCCGTCACACTGCTGGACAATCTCTTTGCCAACGTCGTCCCCAAGGTAAACACAGTGTCCGGAGTTCCCACCCGTTTCATTCTCCAGCTCCTCATTTTTCCAGAAACCCATGTTATTTTAACTTCCGGTTGACTGAATTGTCACTCAGGACTTGCGACTTTGCTTAACTATGTGGACAGGAAGTTAACCGTGACTACCATTAAGTAAAGTGCAATTTTTATGATAAGTAGTTTTAAATAACTGTTGACATGGAGACCTCGACGTTGATCTTAGGTTTTGGTTTGCGGGTATGAAGCTGATACACACGTTGCACGTCGCATGCTTTTCATGGCTGACAGCCACATGTCTCACGGCACACTGCCTGCTCCTGTGCAGGTGGGCTTTACCAACATAAGCCACATGCTGACCCCAAGAGGCCGAGTGTATGCCGAGCTGACCGTGTCTCACCAGGCTCCCGGCGACTTCCTGTTGGTAACTGGTTCCGGGTCAGAGCTCCATGACCTCAGGTAAGGGCGCACCTGGGGAGGAACCGTGTGCCTCACACCGAGCTTCCTGTCACCAGGACTTGAAAGCGCAACTGTAACTCTTGTTAGGTCTGATTATTTCACACAAACGTCACACAGAGAAGTCTTGGGGTGAGGACCCCTTGCAGCCGTCAGACGGACCCATGCGTGGGGCCGTGATTCTGATCTTTGCACCTCCCACAGGTGAAGCGTCATCGCTGTGCCAGACTCCTCACCCCTACCCCCACGTGTCCTCACAGCGGTGCGGGGCGAAGCAGCTTGCTCCTGGCCACCAGTCTCGGCCCCTCTCTTGACTGTCGTCTGGGGCTTTCCGCCCTGTGGGTGACCCTTGGTGCTCTGCGGCCCCCAGCTAAGTTGCTGGTCGGCCTTCATGCGTTCTTAGTCTGCCAGGACATCTGTGGTCTCTAGTCTAACAGTGCAGAAATCTTTGGAGTGTCATTATATTACATAATGCATGGCTTCCCCGGACGGGTTCTCACCACTGCTGTGGAATGATGCGAGTCACGTGTGCCCATCCGCGATGGCTTCGCTTCGTGTAAATCCAGACAGGAATGTCACAGTCGACCTGCGTAGCTTCAGTGGCCACTCAGTGAGTTCGCCAACCTCCTGCTGAACTCCAGTAATTCGTCAAGACTCAGGAACTGGACCTGGAGTTTTCCTGGTGCTGTTAGGGCACTCACACGTCTCCTGGCAGGTGCACTGTTGACCTGTGGTGGCCAAGTGTGCCTCCTGTGTACAGATTTCAGGGAACAGTGGGTTTCCGTTCATTTTTGGCGCTTGAATCATTCGTTGAAATGCAGTAAGGCTGTCACCGTCGGAAAGAGTCACGTGCAGAGACAGTTTCAACTGGAGGGTGCTCTGTGCTGTGGAAAATCGCCCCCAGGTTTGTAAGGCGTGACTTAGAGATCGCTGAGTGTCTCAGGACTGGGCTTCCTCAGTGCTAACAGCAAGAAATGTCTCTCTGGGGGCTCTCTGATGATCCCAGACACGAAGTGCCTCTTCACGGAGATCGGGTGTCACCAGGGTGCCTTATCCAGGCAGTATTTCACACGATGATTATGTCTTGAGCACAGATGGATTGAAGAAGCAGCCATCAGAGGCGGATATGAAGTTGAAATCAGCAACACCACCGATGAGCTGGGCGTCCTTGGCGTGGCCGGGCCCCGGGCAAGGCAGGTCCTGCAGAAACTGACCTCGGAGGATCTCAGCGATGGCGCCTTCAAGTTCCTCCAGGTCAAGCCCCTCAAGGTCGCCCATGTTCCCGTGACGGCCATTAGGATCTCATACACCGGTAAGAACCAGAATAGCCCAAGGGCTAAAGGAGCTACCAGAAATGTGCGTGTGCACTCACTCACAGGCACACATGCTCATCTGCTCACACTCAACTTCACAATTCACACCTATACACATACACCCCCACACAATCATGTACATACTCACAGGCTCACACATACAGCTACTCACACCTACACAATATACTCTCACAACCTCCTCATGCACTAACACCCACACCACAGTCTGACACACACACTCACACCTACCCACACTCACACCTGCATATATACGCTCCTCCCTACTCATATACTCACACCTACACACATACACACACTCACACCTACCCACAGCTACATGCATACACTCACATTCTCACACACCTACTCATACACTTATACACATACATACTCACACCTACACACATACACTCACACCTACCCACAGACAGCTACATGTATACACTCACACCTACTCATACACTCATACACATACATACTCACACCTATATACATACACACACTCACACCTACCCACAGACAGCTACATGCATACACTCACACACCTACTCATACACTCACACATATACACATGTATACTCACACCTACACACATACACACACACTCACACCTACCCACAGACAGTTACATGCATACATTCAAAGTCACACACACCTACTCATACACTCACACCTACAAACACATATACTCATACCTACACACATACACACACTCACACCTACCCACAGACAGCTACATGCATACACTCACACACACCTACTCATACACTCATACACATACATACTCACACCTATATACCTACACACACTCACACCTACCCACAGGTACATGCATACACTCACACTCCCACACACCTACTCATATACTCACACCTATACACATACACACTCACACCTACCCACAGACAGCTACATGCATACACTCATTCTCACACACCTACTCATATACTCACACATATACACACATATACTCACACCTATACACAGCACACTCACACCTACCCACAGCTACATGCATACACTCACATTCTCACACACCTACTCATACACTCACACCTATACACACACACACTCACACCTACCCACAGCTAGATGCATACACTCGAAGTCACACACACCTACTCATACACTCACACCTACATGCAAACATACACACACCTACCCACACTCAACTCACAGCTACACACACCCTCAAACTCACACATCTGCCTACTCACACACAACCACACCCTCACACATACACTCAAACTTGCACACACACTCATGCACATACTGTCATTGACACGTGCATCCCACCCACCCACACGCTGACACGCTCTCACACCCACACACTCACTGTTTTCCACGTGGCTGTGAGGGAGGTCTCCTCTGCCCACCTCCCACTCTGGAGAGAGCTCCACAGGTTTCCTGTCTTGCTCCGGGTCCGTAGCTGACTGTGGGGCAGAGTAGCTGACGAGTGGGAAGAGGCTGTGCTGGGGTAGAGGGATGTCCAGGCCAGCAGACTCTCTGGGGACACTCGGGGCGATGTCCCTGGGACAGCCTCCTCTCGAGCCCCCTTCCTAGGGCCTTGCGTTGTTAGGAAGGCTTCCTCCAGCCCTGACAGTGCGCACGGCAGCCAGCGGCACAGACAGGAGTGGTCGGGCTCCAGTTCCCTGCTGGTGCTCGGGCTCACGGCCAAGGTCCTCCAGGCCTCCCTGTCGGGTCCAGCAGAAGTACTGCGTGCCCCCAGGCTCCGCCCAGCTGCAGGTGGCTCCTGTTCTGGGGCACACCGAGGGACCCACCCCATCCCCATCAGCCCTCAGCACTGGGAGCAAGGGGCACCTGGTGATAGAGGCCTCAGCTCCTCCCAGGGTCGCCTCCCCCTCCCACCCCTCCACCCCTACCCTCGTCTTCCCGCAGCCTGTGGCGATGGTGAGTGAGTAGAAGCCCCCAGGACTCCCTGGGTGTGGGTTCCCTTTCTGCTGACTTTTGCCTGCAGTCCTGATGGTGAATGGAATGGGCAGAGGGGAGACGTGGGACGTGGGACGTGGAACATGGGACGTGGGACATGGCTCGAGTCCCAAGCCACAGCTCCCCACAGCTGTCTGCTGGTTGTTTGTAAGCCCGCTGCTTCTTTGGGCAATGGGGTTGGTGTTGGGGTGTCTGGACTTGAACCCCCTATCTTGATCAAATTTACGACATCATCATTCACCTACAATAGGCCAGCCTCGTGGAGAGGCTGGGGTCCAGGGTGCAGATTGCCCATCTGTGTGGCGAGAGCCACGTGCCACGCGCCAGCCTCCACGTGGGAGTCAGGGCTGGGCACGGCGGCAGCTGGTGCCCCAGGACGACTTTTCGCCGGCGGTCTTTTACCCCCGGCAGTGCCTGTGGTGCGTGCGTGTGGTGTTCTGGCGGCCAGGCATCAGGCCTGGGGCCGGCAGCCCTCACGCTGCGCGTGTGTTGCAGGCGAGCTGGGCTGGGAGTTGTACCACAGGCGCGAGGACTCGCCGGCCCTCTATGAGGCCCTCATGAACGCCGGCCAGGAGGAGGGCATCGCCGACTTCGGGACCTACGCCCTCAACGTCCTGCGCCTGGAGAAGGCCTTCCGCGCCTGGGGCGCTGAGGTGCGAGGGGGCCCCTCACCACACCACGGGGCCGGCGCTGCTTCCCCTGCGCCTGGGGTTGCCCGGGCTGGGGGGAGGAGGTTTCGCACTCCATGAGGGCTCCCTGGCCAATGTTCCTGGGAGTTCCGCCCGCACCTTTGTTCTGCTGATTGCTCCCACAGGCCGGGTCGGCCCCTGCCTCTGGCCTGTGGGATGGAGTACCCAGTTCACATCCCTACCTCCCCGCATTTCCTCCTCGGCTCTCGTGTTTCGGTGAATTGACACGCATTCCGTGGTCAGGGCCATGGCCCAGCATGCCTTGGTCTAGCCTTTGCCCACCACTCCTCCCTCCCTCCCTCTCTCCTCTCCTTCCTTGGCTGGGGGAGGGCAGGAGAGAGAGCGAGATAGAGATGGTGGGTGGGGGCGCCTCCATCTATAGGTTAGCTCCCCGAATGCTGCAGCAGCCAAGCTGGGAGCCGGGACTGCAAGGCAGGCGTCCCGTGTGGGGGTCAGGACCCCACTTCCCCGGGCCACCCGTCCCCCCTCCCAGGGCCTGCATTGGCGGGGCGCTGGAGTAGCATCTGGGGCCGAGTGTGAAAGAGTCGCTCCCCGTGTGTGACAGGGCACACCAGCCAGCACCTTCCCCGCCAGGCTAGGCCGCTCCCCAGTCCCTCTCGGAGCAGTGCTGTCCCTTCACACGCCTTCGTCACGGGCACGACTTCTTAGTCCCCTGTTGTCCCCGCCCTCGTTTTACGCGCAATCCCGGTGCCCAGCCTGGCCCAGCCCACACAGTAAGCAGCCGGGCAGTGGTCAGACAGACTCGGCCTTATCTGTGGTGCAGCGGGCTCTCTCTGGGCTTCTCACTTGTTCAGATTTGATCGTTTCCTTGGAAGACGTTGTGGTCTCAGGCCTGAGAGCCGAGATAAGGGACAGTGATTTAAAAAATAAAAGTCCCAGAGTGGGGACTCCCGGGCCTAGTTATCTCCATCTCAGCACAGCGAACTTTACAGAACCTCTGCTTTCCGTAAGCGCTGGATTCACCCTGCGGCACCGGAGAGTCTATCGAGGGCCAGGCGCTACCAGGCTGAGATCTGACGCCTCTCCATCCCCCGCTCCCCCACCCCCACCCCTACCCCTACCCAGGCAGTGTGTCGCCCAGTCCCGGCCGGGCCAGCTCCGGTGGTGCTAGAGCGCCCTCTAGTGGTGCTGTATCCCTCAGGCGTCTCTGGTTTTTTACTTAAGAAATTCTGAAACTTTGAGCAGATCAAAATTAATTTGAAAGAAGCTCAAATTGATTAAGAAATATGAGACAAAATTTTCTAGCACGTAAAACAAGTTACTGTTTGTTTGAATTATGCAAGTGCTGAGTTGTCTTTGAGATTTTGACCACTGTTGAGGGAGGAGGTTAGATTAGTTAGTTCCCTTACCGTCAAAGTGAGCAACAAAACAGAGAGACAAAAATCACTCACTTCCGGTCCGTTGCCAAGTACCGGCTCAGCCCCAGCTGGGTTTATAGGGCAGCGATCCCACTGCATCTGCAAAGACTGAAACTCAGCGTCTGTGTTCTTCTCAGTTCTTCTTTCTGAGCTCAGGAGAAGCCGTTTCCTAACACCCGCCTTTCCTTCTCCTTGCACTGATGGTTGGATGATTGTAAAGTCGGTAAATTACATAACTTTCCCAAACCCACTTACATAAAGTTATTACATAAGAGGTGTGAAGGGCTATTTCTAGAAGGCACACAGCTATGTGCTACCCCTTCAGGTGTTGGTTAAAATAAAAGGCCATGGAAACAAACAGTTGCAGCTTCTATATTAACCACGTCTGCATGACGGTGTTTGTGGAAGGCTGCACTTGAATGTTGGGTGAAAAAAGTGTCTTAGAGACCAGCGTCTTTCAGAATCTGTTCAGGAGTCGCACTGTTCTCTGTCCTCAAAGACATCGGATGGAAGTGAGGCTGTGAGATGCTTCGCACCCACATGTGTGTTTTCCTTTCAGATGAACTGCGATACCAATCCCTTGGAAGCTGGCCTGGAACCTTTTGTCAAGCTGGATAAGGTCTGTTTGCACTCCGGAGGGTGCTGTTTCATGACAAAGCCGTACGTTAAAATTTAGCCACGGGTGATCGTGGGAGAAATGGGTGATCGTGGGAGAAATGAAGTGAGCAGAAAGAGACTAAGCATTGCTCGGTTGCTCCTTATTGTTGTTTTGTCAACATCTGAGCAGCTCAAACTACTGGAGTGTGCTTACAGATTTCAGTTGGCAGAATCGGGCTTATTTAAGGGCTACCTCTAAGTTCCAGGATGAAGATTTGCAAGGACAGATAATAACCAGATTTCAGCAGGAATTGTGGGGCTGCACCGTGGAGTCCCACCCTCCCCCGCGCTCACTGGAGGCTCACGGCACAAGGCTGCTCACTCAGCAGATCCAGCTGCGGGGTAGCGTCTTTGTGCGTAAACTATGACTTCTGTGTCGAAGCAAAGCGTGCATTTGCAATGCCTTCAGCAGCAGGTGGTGTCAGCCGAGAAGCCAGGACAGCACGGCCCAAAGAATCACGACCGATACCAGTGTCTGTCCCGGGGAGCCCCTGCAGCTGTGGTTCGCACAGCGTGGTCCTCAGACCAGCAGCACTGGCATCAGCAGGCAGCCTGTGAGAAGTGCAGACCCTCAGGTCCCGCACAGACTGCTCCGCCGGCCATGAGTCAGGCTGGGAGTCAGGCTGGGAGTCAGGCCGGCAGTCAGGCCGGGAGTCAGGCTGGGAGTCAGGCGGGGAGTCAGGCGGGGAGTCAGGCTGGGTGTCAGGCTGGGAGTCGGGCTGGGAGTCGGGCCGGGAGTCAGGCCGGGAGTCAGGCCGGGAGTCAGGCCGGGAGTCAGGCTGGGAGTCAGGCTGGGAGTCAGGCCGGGAGTCAGGCCGAGAAGCGTGCGTTTGAAGGAACTCTCGGGGGCTCCTCACGCCCCTGTGGTCTGAGGGTTACCAACCCACATGGGGCCGAGTTGTTACAACCCCCTCGTTTCTCCAGTGCCTACAGATCTAAAGGAGGTGATCCAGGTTAGGAAAGAACTTTCCTCCCCTTATTTTACTGTGTTTTAAAAAACATTTGCCACATTCACCTCAAATACAGACATTACATACATTCACCGATTTGCTGTTTTTTCTTGAAATCATCCATATTAATATCAGAGTGAAGGACTCGTGACAACAATCATTACTTGGGGAAAGAAGGGTAAATCATCATTCGCGCGATATGGTTTGGTGAAGCAATATTTGTAATTGTATGCCGAAGGACATGACATCCTCACAGTTTTTGTCCTCTCTCTAGATCAGCTTCTAAGGGGAAACCTGTGAGGTTTGTCTTTGTGGGTCTGGATTGTTTCGCGTAGCATAATGATCTCCAGTTCCACTATGAAAGGACTTAGCAGAGGTGCGGTTCGTGGTAGCCACTGCCGCGTGGGGTGCTTGCCAGGATTCTAGAACAGACGGCCCCTTCCTGGTGCGTAGGAGCTAAAGGCGATTTCCTACCCTATGGGATTCCGGAACACACGCTCATGACAGGCTAAGGAAACTCTCTGCTGCTGCTGCGTCTGTCCCAGATCCTGAACTGAACTATCAGCATAACCGTGCATATTTGTAGTGTTGGATGGCAGCAGGAAGAGCCTCCTTGAGGGCTTTAAAGGGAGCGTCTTTCTGTGCGTTCTCTCCCACAGCTTTTGTTTGTAGGGTGTGCCATCGGCCTCTGGACCAGAGGAAGCAGGTGCCTGGGGCTCGTGCAGACCGAGCAGCTGACTGCTCCTACTGACAGCACGAGTCTTGGCTTAGCCGTTAAAATAAGGAGAAAGGGGCCTGGCCGGCAAGCCCTGCAGTTCCATTTGGGGTTGATGTTTGGCTATTGTTGTCTGGGGCTCAGGCAGGGATCGACGACCTCTTCATATTGCATTTGGAATCCAAAGAACTCTGTCAGCAGGAGTGGCTGATGTATTTATGAGTGCTCTCAGATGATATGGCTCAGAGTGGAGTTGGTTCGACAGTAGACACCAAGCTTGGTTTATGGCACGATTTTATGATTTCTAAGTTGTTGGTCCTCAGCCAGGTGCCATGGAGCTCATCGCTGGTGAGTTAGCGGTGAAAGTCCCGGCAGTCCCAGGACCTGGCCCTCAGTGGACAAAGTCAGTGATGTTGGTTCAGGTGATTGGTCGGCTTCAACGTCATTGTCAGGAAAGAGGAAACAGAGCCGGAAGCCACAGCCAGACTAGGTTTATCCAGAACAAAGCCTGGGAGGGGCCCACTCCAGGGAACACACGGCAGAGAGAGAGAGAGAGAGAGAGAGAGAGAGAGCACCTTCCCTTACAGACTAGCGGTTTATAGAATACAGAGTGGCAGGGAGGGGCTTGGGGATCTGAGTTAAAGCTGGGATATCGAGACAGAGGGAGGCTTGGGCTCTTTCTAAAGGTCCCGTGAGATCCTGGGGTGAGCTGGGAGCCGTCTGGGCTGAGGCGGAGGTGGCGGCGGAGGCAGAGGCGAGGCTGGACTCTGCGGCGGAGCTGCTGAGCTGCAGGGAGAGAGCTTGGGAGGAGTGAGGAGAGCTCAGGCTGAGGCTGGACTCTGCAGATAGTGGTGTGTCCAGCCGTCCAGGCCGCGCAGGGCTGGTCAAGGCAGGGGGGCTGGATTAGCAGGGCAGGGACATGGGGCCTGCTTTGTTATGCAGGTGAGACGTCAGCATGGCTCTAAGGCTTTTTGTCCTTGCGCCATCAGTAATCTTGCTGATGCTTCTTTCTAAGATGAACAGCTTGGATCAATCGCGTTATATCCTATTGATAATTTCACCACTTTATTATGGTTCCGTAGCAGCCTAAGCTCCTGAAAGACTTGTCACCAACTAAGCTGTGTAACTTGGTCGTCCAACTCTTACGCCTGGAAGGAGTTACCCTAACTGCAGAAGCACGTGTTCCCTTTAGAGCCCTGTGGGGGTGCCATGTCCCGGTGTACATAACCTACAGCTGGGAGGCCTTGGAAGAGCAGTGCTGTGCGAGGCTGGAGCTCAGCCACCCTAGGGACACCTGGTCCAGTGCCCAGGAGGCAGCCTGGGTGTTGTGCAGTTGGAGATGGGGCAGGCTTGCCCCAGCCTGCGGCAGCGCCCCCGTGCGGCCGAGCCGTAGACGCAGGAGAGCGCGGGACCGAGCGCCGCCTCAGGTGAGGGCCTCACACGGGCCTCAGGGCTTCCCGCTCCCGGCCGCCTTCTCGCTTGTTCCAGGGGAAGTCACCTGAGGGGAGAAATCGGGGTGTTCTTGCTTTTTATTTTTAGCATGAGGAAGTGGAAGAAGTGCGTTAACTAGGAGTGAGGAAGAGCTGCCCCCTGGAGGCAGCATGGGCGCCCTGGGCAGGTTCTGCCTGGGACTCCGGAAGCACTGTCCGAGAGGCCCCCCAAGACCACAGGCCCCAGGGCTCGGCGTCCTCCGGGGGCTGAGGCTGGGGGCTGAGGGACTAGGGCATTTGATGTTTTTTGTTTTGTTTTTTTAGTTACTCATTGAGGTGATTCCAGGAACAGTGGAGAGTGACTGTTGGAGACCAGTGATTTCCAGCTGGCTGTAGTTACTATCCTGAGAATTAAAAAAAAAAAAATCCCGACGCTCTGCCTCAGTGGTCCTGCAGTGTGGCCCTCAGCAGCAGCCGCACTCCCGAGAGAACACCAGGTGGTGGGTCTCCTACCAGACCCTCAGGATCCGACGCTGCACGGCGGGGCCTAGCCATGGGAATCAGGTCCCAGGCAGCTCAGAACACAGTCCCACGTCGACCCAGTCAGATCCACTCTGGGCAGCCGTTCGGATTTCTTTCTTTTTAATCTATTGATCTGAGAGTCAGAGAGCGAGACGGAGATCTTCCATCCACAGTGCAGTCCCCGCGCGACAGCCAAGGCTGGGCTGACCCAGAGCCAGGAGCTCATTGGAGGTCGCCCACGTGGGTGGCAGGGACCATGACCTGCAGCCGTCACTGCTGCCTCCCATGGTCTGCGGGAGTCAGGAGCAGAAGGGAGGATTGAACCCAGGCACCGTGACGGGGACGGGCGCCATGCTTGCCAGGCCACTCGCCCACCCCAGGCGTCTGAAGTTTCATAGATGTTTTCTTTAATGCCCTGAAGCCTGAGAACCCCCGTTTGGGTTCCTTAGCCTCCTAGTAGCTGTGCTCCCGAGTAAGCAGGCAGCCAGGAGACCAGGTGAGGCGCAGTCTGCAGTGCCTGGGAGCTGAGTTAGCGGCTCTGCGGCCTGTTCCGCCCAGGCTGTGGGGGATGAGACTCCACGCTGAGTCTTTGTTTCTTCTTCAGTAGTGGGCAGTAAGTGAATATGTTTTCTGATTTTTTTTTTTAAGATTTATTTATTTGAGAGACAGGGTGATAGAAGGAAAAAGAGAGAGAGCTCTTCCATCCGCTGGTTCACTCCCTAAATGGCTACAATGGCCAGGACAGGGCCACGCCAAAGCCAGGATCCTGGAACTCCATCTGGGCGCCCCACGGGGGTGGCAGGGACCCAAGCACTTGATCTTCTGCATTCCTGCTGGCCGCATGGAGGGATTCCAGGGCCCTGCTTCCTTCCGCACACCCGCCATGGTCAGCTGTCCTGGCCGGAGCTGTTCTACGAGCCTGTGATGGCTCGCAGCATGTCCCAGCATTCCCTGTGTGGCTGATGCTGTTGGACCTGCTTTCCTGTGCCCCCTTCCTCTCCACCCTCTTCTTCTTCTTTTAAAGATGTATTTACTTGAAAGGCAGAGTTGGGGGGGGGGAGAGAGAGAGGTCCTCCATCAGTTTGTTCACTCCACAGATGGCCACAACAACCAGGGCTGGACTAGACAGAAGCTGGGAGCCGGGAGCTCCGTTCAGGTCTCCCATGTGGGTGGCAGGGGCCCAAACACTCAGGCCGTCTTTGCCGCTTTCCCAGGCCATCCACAGGCAGCTGGTTGAGAAGCGGAGCAGCAGGGACTCCAGCTGGCACCCATGTGCCATGTCAGCGTTGCAGGCAACGGCTTCACCTGCTGCACTACAATGCCACCCACCCCTCCCCCTCTCTTC